GTTTGTCCCGGATGGAGGCAACAAAAGGCGAGTTGGTGGTGATTGAGGGTTTGTGCTGGATGTTCTGCATGACCCCTTGTAGTTGGAGCTTCATAGCCCGGAGTTCAGCGTCCCAGAGGGGAATGTTGTCGCCATGGTCGGTCAACGGAGGTTGGACGCTGCTGGCTTCCCCCTCAGGGGCTAGTGCCACGACTGACGGGCGTGGAGGTGGAGGTGGTAGGCTCATATGTGGAGGAGGAGGAGGAGGTTTAAAACCTTCTGGGTTGAGCGAAGGGGGTTGTGGAGCAGTGTGGACCGGGGTTCTTTCTTGGTTGGGTGGAATATCTGGAGGTGGAGTGGGGAGGTTTCTTTGGAGCAAAGCACTGATCAGGGCCTGGTTTTGCTCGGCCATGCGGTTAATGCTGTTAGTAAGTTCGATGATGTATTGTAGTGGGTTGTTTGGATGGGAAGGGTCTGTTTGATGATCGATGGTATTATGGTGAGAAGCCATGGACCTAGTCGTGACCATACACTTGGACGAGTGAGAGGAAAAGGTAACGGTGAGAAAGGGGGGGCTCCGGCGATAGTGAACACAACTAGCGCACGAATAAACCACAATTTCCCACAGACGGCGCCAACTGATGATGCAGTTCATCCTGGGTGGATGGGTCGGGCTGGTCCAAGCTCTTTAAGTTCTGATTCAGGCAAGTGATCCCACCAGATGACCTGCAAGCAAGTCCAAAGGGGAACAGGGTAGTACCCCAGTGAACCCTCCGGCGAGCGAATCAGTAGAGGAAGAAAGAAATATATAGAGTGAGAGAGATAGAAAAGCTTAACCTTCCTCTTGTCTTCGATTCTTGCTTATATCCTTTGGTAATCATTTCACTGTCTCTTGTGACGTGCCCCTTCCGCCAAAAGCCTGTGCCGTAGCTTACCTTGTTCAGGGTGAGGGGGCTCTGTTCCGACGGGGAGGTGTTGTCGTAATAAATGCTGTGATGGGCTGCATTAATGGTGATATGTTGTGGCAATAACTCTGCAGATCTTTGTCTGCTGATGTGGCCTGTGTTTCACCTGCAATGTGCCCGAATGTCATTGGCCCTCCATGGCCAGATGGCCTCCAACTGTCCTGGGCTTTGCCAACCGGGTTATGCTATGGGTCCCAAGCGATGGGTTTGGGGTTGTTTGCTGTGGGCTGTAAGCCTTATGGGCCTATCCATGTCAGTATTATTTTTCTTGACCGTTGGGTCTACAACTCTTCATTGACATAACTGGAGCAAATGCGGGAAAAAATTGATTTTTGTCCTTACAATGTACAAGTTCATAATAGGGAATGTTCATTCTTTAATCCATGGATTCTATTTTGAAGCATTAGTAATGACCTTCAACAATATAGTATGAGGGAGAGTTATCTTGAATCTTTAAATAAATTTGGACGTGCTTGAAATGAAATGAAGCTTTAGTGAACTATCATGAGATGCAGAGTGCAAATATGTAAAAATGACACAATTCTCACGTGCACTCCTTTGATTGAAAAATTTAGTAGATGAAGGGGGTTAAGTGTTGCAAATTTTAGTTAAGGTAAAGAGACACGGGGCAATAAGGTGTAATTTGCCCTATATTTAGGCATACATGCAACAACTCACTACATTTGGTGAGTACTATATAAACTCCTTAAAATAGCGATTGTACTAGCGAGTTTGTTGGAGTTAAATTTTTTCATTAATCATTTTCTAATTTAGTTGAAAAACATAGATGAGTTGTTTGATGTACTTGTCCTAAGAATTTGAACGTTAGAGATTAAAAAATATATCATCAAATTAATATGAAATGCATATTTATAGCAACCCAAAAAAATAAAATAAAATAAAATAAAATGGTACCAACTATTTGAGTAAGTTGAAATAAATTCCTTAGGAATTAAAGAAACATCAAAGAAATCAAACCAAATTCCAAATGTTAGAAAAGTATAGACTTCAAAAGTATCAAAATACAGAGAGAGAGAGAGAGAGAGAGAGGGTACTGTGGCCGAGGAGGCAGAGGAAAGTGGTTGAAGAAAATGGGAGAGAAAGAGATGCGCAGAAAGGGTTTTCCTTTTTATATTGTATGGACACGTGGCAATACGAAAAGAATCTGACAGACAGAGACGTGTGAACTGGAAATTGGGACAAGGCTCTTAACCCCACTATATTTTTTTTCCTTTTTTAAGTTTTTGGAAAGTTTGGACAGGTTGAGAGTTTGCCTAAATTAGTGGGAGTTGAATTTGTAACCCAAGCTTATCGCAATTGTTTGAATTGCTTAGATTTGAATCACGTTACCATGGCTTCATATTGCCTCTCAACAGGTCAGTCGTTACTAGAGAACTTGAGTTGATTACCAGTGAAAGAGCACTTGAGTTCAGGAAATATTGAACCAGAAAAGTGCTCTGCTCAATTGAGTGAGAAACACAAATTAGTGTATTTAGTTTTAGTTTCTTCAATTTAGTTTTTTGAAAATTGAATTTTTTTTAAATAGTAAAATATTTGTAAAATAATATTTTAAAAAATTAATAAATACACAAAAATAGGAAAAATGTACTAAATTTTCATATTTTTTTATTTATATTTTTTGGCATTTAGTGTATTTTTTTTAAAAAAATTCACAAATATTATATTTTTTAAGTGTATTTATGTTAGGTGTGTCTAAAAATTAAAAAAAAAATTACTTAAAATATTAAAAAAATTTATTGAAAACATTAAAATAGGAAAAATAAAAAAAGTAGATTTTTTTGAAAACTAAAACCAAACAAGATGAATGTTTTTCAAAGAAATTTTTTAAACTCTAAATAGTTGTGTGTGTGTGTGTTTTTCTTTTCCATTTATTTTGCCATCATGAATAGTATTTTTTGGGAGACCATTTGTCCCGCTTATGCAAAAAATAATAAATAATAATAATAAAATAAAAATTGTGATGGCAAAAGAGAATGACACAAAAAAGTTGAAAGCATAAAACTCTTTTTTCTAATAGTGATTTGCATTGGTTGCCTTTTTTTGCGATCATTTGTCTCGCCAACATCAAAAATTATTTGCGACAACAAAAACTTATGCAAAACGTCATTTTCTATGTATTTTTTGCTTAAAAAGTGAGAAGGATTTGCAGGAAGTGTTCAACCCAAGATGTCATTCAAATGTAAATCTAACACTTCAACTATGGCACTGCCAAAATTGTGTTTTTTCAGTCAGTCATCATCATAAACTTTCACATGAGTCATGGCAAACCAAACCATGCCAAAGTTGTATAGAAACAAGTCAATAGAAAGTTACAACAACTAAAACTGCGTTCGTTTGGATAGAGTGATTTTTTGGAAAATTGATAAAAAACAGACTTTTTTAGTTTTTTTGATTTTTTTTGCTAAAAAAATTGGCTTTTTTCTGATTTTTTGTGGTTTTTTTTTTTTGTGTAAAAAAGCTGAAAAGCTAAAAAGCTGACTTTTTACCATACTCTCAAATTGCCAAAGAATATATATATACATATATATATATTGTGCATATTCTGACATTTAAAATAACAAAAAGACAAAAGTCAATAGAAAATATTTTCAACAAAAAACAAGCATAATTAGATGAAAACATTTTCCACTCCGAAAAAAATGAAAGACATTTTTTTGAACTAAACTATTACTAATGACACCATCAGAACCCACCACAGCCACTGCCTCCAACCCACCTCTTTGCAAAAATAACTTCTGGAAAAAATTATGTAAAAAATATTTTCTGTCAAAATAAATAAAACCTAACAAAAACACTTTAAGAGGAGAATAAACTGTGTATAGTGTGTACATCACCGTGTCAACGCCAAGTTCCTGCCTAATTGATTACCTGAAATGAGGAATAGGGAATGTAAACTTGATATAAAGTTAAAAGTGGCACTTAAATTCACAATCACAAACATCATGGCCAAATTTCAACCAAATTTCATATAATTTAAATTGTTGAAGAACTTATATTTTACCTAAAAGGAGAGCAATTTTTTGCCCTCAAGATGTTCCACTTTCCCTCAGTAAATGTCTTAGCCGTTTTAATTTTTAAAAATGGACCTATCAGACGATGAACACAGAAAAGATCATCTCTCTGTCCCACTCAAACCAAAGACGGCCAAAAAGGACACAAACCACACTACAAGAATTTACACATTTTGCGACCACTTTTACCGACTAAAAAAATTTTGGTCGCAAAAAAAGGACGCTTGGCGACCAAATATTAATTAGTCGCGAATGATCATTAATTTTGGCGACCAAATTTTATTGGTCGCAGAAGGTTATATTTTGGCGACCAAAAAATATGTTGGTCGCAGAAAGTGGTATACTTTTGCCGACCAACTACAAATTTGGTCGCGGAAGGTCACATATTTTTTAGCGACCAAAAATTTGGTTGCGAAAAACTTATTTTCAGCAACCAAAAAAAATTAGTCGCCAAATTAGTACTTTTAGTGACTAATATTTTAGTCGCCGTTGATTGAGATTTGGCGACTAAAAAAATTTGTCGGCAAAAGAACCTATTTTTGCGACTAATTTGAGAGTTTCGTCGCCAAAAATTTGGGGAGAAATTTGAAACGTGGGGCGGGAATTGAATTTCAGAAAAAAAATTCTAGATTGGGGTAATTTTCTATTTCACACACTGTTGATGCATCAATCGAACCCAGATTGGGGTAATTTGGTTTAACTCGTCTCCTCCCATTCCCTCTCTGTCTCTCTCTCCCTCTCTGTTCTTCTTTCCTACCCTCCCTCTTGCGCTCGCTCCCGACGCTGGCCTCGATTTCTGCCTCTCCCCCATTCTCTCTTAGTGTCTTCAAGTCGCAATCCTCCCACTCACAAGGTAGAGTTTCCGATTGTGAATCGCGACATTCACTACAAGAAAATTGACATACAACAACGTTTATACAACATCGTTTTAAAAAAATGCCATTTTTTAGTGTTTTGCGTATTTTACATTTAAAAAAAGAGGAAGAAAGAAAAGTCAATTAACAGATCTCACTCTCTCACACTCGTATCTCCGTCATGGTCCGTCTCTCTCAGTCTTACACTGATATCTCACTCTCACAGACATCACTTCCTCTCAGTCTCTCACACACCGCTCCTCTCTATCGTAATCGAACATCGATCTACATTCCTCGGGCAAACATCGATCTCTGTCGCTCTAGGGCTTTGCTCTAGCTGTTCTTCATCGAACTCGAACTTGATCTCGATCTGTTATTCATCTCAGATCAGATCATTATCATCTTCGATTCTCTTCTTCTCTCTTCGATCTCTCTGCAAATCTCTCTCTCTCTAAACTCTGTTTGGATCTATCTGTGTTCGATCATGGAGATGGAACGTGTGATCGAGTTTCCACACGCGGACATGGATCGTCGTCCCAGAAAGAGACCGCGTTTGGGTTGGGATGTTGCTCCTCAGGCCCTTAAGGTATCAAATCTGTTCTCTAGATCTGTAATTTCATAATTTTTTTTCTTTCTCTTTTTTGGTTCTATTTTTTGCTAGATCTGGTTGAAATTAGATACGTGGTAGATCAGGTATGAGAAAAGGTTTATGCTTTTATAAATCTGTAAATTTCATGGTAGATCGGGTTGGGAAAAAGGTTTATTATTATTATTATTTTTTCTTATGTATAATCGATTTTTATATATGATCTGTAAATTTCTGTCTTCCTTGGTGGAGATGCGAAGTTAATTGAGGTAGAAAAGCTTGTTCTCCGTCTTTTCTTGAGCGTATATCTTCGAGATTGTTCGAATCCCTCTGATCTAAATCGATCTAGGGCTCAAGATAAGTGTTTTCTGACTTGGATTCGCTAAGTTCATGGTTAAAACAACGATTTGGAGTATATTTACGTTGAGTTTTGTTTGTAGGCATCAGATTGGAGTCTAGGACCAAAAGAATGTATACTACTGCTTGGATGATTGAAGAATATGATAATTATCTTGGACCTGGTAGTGTATTGGTATGTTCTAATGTTCTTTAAGAAACTTCATCATATCTGCTATTTTGTTTGAGGTCATATACAATAATAAGATTTTATTTCGTTGCTTTAAAATTAGGGGGAAACTTTTATAAATTTGGTTTCCTTTAAGGCATCATAGCATAAAACATCTCATAAGATTAGTTGGTCCATTGGGCCGAATACTGAGTTCTCATTTTTTTTTTTTGATACATGTGGATCTGCATCAGCCATCAATAGAATGACATCATCATTCATTCATTCTTCTTCTTCTTCTTTTTCTTCTTCTTTTTTGTTGTTGTTGTTGTTGTATTGGTTTGCTTTCACCTCTTTTGAAATCAGACACAAGATATATTAATGTCTTAGATCGTACATTAAGTTCTTAGATTTTAAATATGTTGCTTGAAATTTTATTTTTTAAGATCCATGTATGTGCAGGAAATATTGTCAGATGTGCCAATGGATGACAGAAACAGGGCAAGCAGCCTTGCTGGTCAAGGCAAGCTCAAAAATGTCCGGGTTTCCCACAGGGTACTGTTTCATCAATATGGTTAGAACTATTCATCTTCTATTATTATTATTATTATTATTATTATTATTATTATTATTATTATTATTATTATTATTATTATTATTATTATTATTATTATTATTATTATTATTATTATTATTATTATTATTATTATTATTATTATTATTATTATTATTATTATTATTATTATTATTATTATTATTATTATTATTATTATTATTATTATTATTATTATTATTATTATTATTATTATTATTATTATTATTATTATTATTATTATTATTATTATTATTATTATTATTATTATTATTATTATTATTATTATTATTATTATTATTATTATTATTATTATTATTATTATTATTATTATTATTATTATTATTATTATTATTATTATTATTATTATTATTATTATTATTATTATTATTATTATTATTATTATTATTATTATTATTATTATTATTATTATTATTATTATTATTATTATTATTATTATTATTATTATTATTATTATTATTATTATTATTATTATTATTATTATTATTATTATTATTATTATTATTATTATTATTATTATTATTATTATTATTATTATTATTATTATTATTATTATTATTATTATTATTATTATTATTATTATTATTATTATTATTATTATTATTATTATTATTATTATTATTATTATTATTATTATTATTATTATTATTATTATTATTATTATTATTATTATTATTATTATTATTATTATTATTATTATTATTATTATTATTATTATTATTATTATTATTATTATTATTATTATTATTATTATTATTATTATTATTATTATTATCAAGAGAGGGATTATCGTATCTAACTTCCTCCCTTCCTCTCTCTCTTGGTGAAATGTGTTGAGGTTTTTAAGGAATTTTATCGAACAAAAACAAAACATAGAAAGCTTTCTTGGATTTACTCATTGGGTACTTGTAACATAATTGGCAAGTTTGTGCCAAAAACTATAGAGTTGATTGTGGGAACTTGTCAGGTAAATTCCTATTTATATTGTACTTTGATTTGTACAAATTAGGGATTTGAACTTGCTCATAATGTATGAAAGGTTGTTTGTTTGATGAATGAATTTGATAGGTTCTGTTGTGTTTTACATGTGTAGTTGGGCAATCATTGCATCAAAATTCAAGGATAAATCAACCAGGCAATGTAGAAGGTTAATTATTTTATAAAAACATGATTTTTTTAAAATTTATGATCTCCTTTGTCTTCCAATAATTCTTTAATTTTCTGTTTTTTAGTCTAACCCCAATGTTGATGTGACATACCATTGCAGATGGTACACTTACTTGAATTCTGATTTCAAGAAAGGGGGTGGTCTCCAGAGGAAGACTTGCTTTTATGTGAGGTAAAATTGATGCTTTCTGAACTCAAAAGTCGCGATATATCAATACTGACAAGCTAGTTTTTCCTTTCTATTACTATTATTGATATATTTTCTTTTGAACTATATATGTAACACTATCTTTGGTCAATCATTAATTTCCTTAAATTTTCTTTGAGTTCATTTGTTTTGTTGTCTCCAATGGTCGAACAGATAATGCCAAGTGTATTTCAAAATTAGATAATTATTTCTCCATTATTGTTTGTGGGAATTTGATATCTTAAGATCCACTGCAGGCTCGAAAAGTATTTGGTAACAGATGGATTGAAATAGCCAAAGTGGTCTCAGGGAGGTATATAAAGTTGTAATGTTTTATTTCTTGCTTGGCATTGGAAAAGTTTGTGGTAATTACAAATTAATTTCTTCATCTATGCTTACAGAACTAATAATGCTGTGAAGAACTGATTTTCCAGTGTGTAAGAAGAGGGCAAAATATGAAGCCTTAATGAAAGAGAATGATAACACTTCATACATCAATCCAAACAACAAAAGGGTTATCTTTCGAGAAGTTGTAGCATTAAATTTCCAAGGATATAAATTAGAATTTTTATGGTCTTCAATTTGGCATTGTAATTCAAATTTGAGCCAATTTGTGTTCTTTTATATTAATTATTAGTCAATTCTTAATCTCTGTTCCTAGTTAAATATCAAATGCCGCTAAAAGTCAAGTTTCTTGTAGTGATTGTGCTTCGATTGGGTCACCGAAGGCTAGGGTTTCCACCACCACAGCCACCTTCATCATCATCAGCTTCCTCAAATTCTACATTGACGTCGCTGTCTTCTCTTTCTCTCTCTGCTTCGAACCCCCATGGGAGCTCTCCGGTACCTCTCTCCCTCTCTCTCTCTCTTTCTCTCTATGCTTCTCTATGCTTTAAGTAAATCGATATTTGTTGGTGGAATTGAGGTAATGGTGAAGACTGATTATTGTCAATAATTAGTCAAGTAAATCGATTACAAAGTGGAATTGAGGTAATGCTTTTCTATGCATTTGAGTTCAAAAACATGTATTTGTTGTCAGAAAAGTTGTGTAATTACATATCCTCTGGGATTTTGACTTAGTTAAGGAACTCATTATCTTTCCTTGGACTTGGGATCTCATACTGCTTTTTTTAGAATTTCAATTAATTTCACTAATTTAGGTTGTGTGATAATTTCAATGTTTACATTGCATTTTCTTTAATTCAATCTGAATTTCAGGATACTGCATCAGTTTCTGAAAATCAGGATGCGACTTCGTTGTTGTAAGGTAATCTTTTTAAAAACCAATATCTACTCATTAATGAATGAACAAAAATGAAAAGAAAAAATCATCTCGGACAACAAAGACCTGGTAGTTCTTCATCTTTATATGTGTATGTGTGTATCTACTCATCTTTATGTGTGTATGTGTGTATGTTTCTTTATATTTGTTGGTGGAATTGAGGTAATGCTTCTCTATGCATTTGAATTCAAAAACATATATTTGTTGTCAGAAAAGTTGTGTGATGACATATCCCCTGGGATTTTGACTTAGTCAAGGAACTCATTATCTTTCCTTGGACTTGGGATCTCATACTGCTTTTTTTAGAATTTCAATTAATGTCACTGATTTAGGTTGTGTGATATAGTTACTTCTAATTTTCTCCTTTGATTATCATGTGACACATCTAGTTTGATGCGACTTCGCTGTTGTAAGGTAATCTTTTTAAAAACCAATATCTACTCATTAATGAATGAACAAAAATGAAAAGAAAAAATCATCTCGAACAACAAAGACCTGGTAGTTCTTCATCTTTATATGTGTATGTGTGTATCTACTCATCTTTATGTGTGTATGTGTGTATGTTTCTTGATATTTGTTGGTGGAATTGAGGTAATGGTAAAGACTGATTATTGTCAATAATCAGTCAAGTAAATCGATTACAGAGTGGAATTGAGGTAATGCTTTTCTATGCATTTGAATTCAAAAACATGTATTTGTTGTCAGAAAAGTTGTGTAATTACATATCCTCTGGGATTTTGACTTAGTTAAGGAACTCATTATCTTTCCTTGGACTTGGGATCTCATACTGCTTCTTTTAGAATTTCAATTAATGTCACTGATTTAGGTTGTGTGATATAGTTACTTCTAATTTTCTCCCTTTGATTATCATGTGACACATCTAGTTTGATTTGTCTCATTATCAAATGAGTCCCCAGGACCCCATGCCTCATTGTATGACTGCTGCAATATCTGCTTATTAGCTCTGCCAAGTTTTTGGTGCCATTGATACCTAGCGAAGCTATAGTATAGTACCCACAGTATGCTGAGATTTTTTAAAGGTCTCTTTTTTGGTGGAAGAAAATCTTTTCGAGGTTTTGCAACATAGTATAACAAATTTCCCCCCTCTATGTTGCTTCGCACTACAAAAATTCTCCAAATGATCTACAATTAATGGCGGATGCTCCAGTGCATCACTTATTTGTGTTACTTGGTATATTACTTGTTATGTTTGCTATCCATTAATGCTTGTCTATCTCCCTCCCTTAATGCCTGATGTATTTATTGAACTCTATGCAGGTCCTGTTGATGAGTCCAAAAATCACCTCCCTGATATTCTCTGTGTTATCCAGGCTTGTTTCTTTTTTATGTGACACACACACCAGTATTTACACACCAGTATTTAAGGATTGGTAATCTTTTTTAGAAATTGAATGACTTTGGTCTTATTATACATTCGTGAGGAAGGTAATCAAAAAAGAAAGAAGATGAGTTCTTTGTTTTATCACTTAGGAGCAGTGTGAGATGAAAGTCTTATGCATGGTTTTGAATGAGAGAAACAAGTGAGGAGATGTCTGCAACTCTTTTCTGTTACTGCAAACATTATTCTATTGTGACTTCTTTGACATGACATGAATATCCATTTCGCCCCTTTATACATCCTTTTGGTGCAATGTTTTCTCCTCTTTAACCAGACTTCCATATCAATCAAATACTATTGTTGCTAGAGTTCTGTCCTCTTCATAATAAACTATAACGTGGAACATTTGCTAAGCATAATAGTTTGGAAAAATAAGTATGTTCTTGAAGGAAATAGGCTGTAACATGTTAAAAGACACCTGCTTGCAAGGGAATTGGCTCTAAATTAAGAAGTTAATTTGCAAGTGATCCATACATGTTTTAGTTTTTGTAATGTATGTTCTACATGCCTTTAGGGTAGCAGAGTCTGTGATTTTCTGCAGTTCTTGACATTGGCATGGTGTCAAACTGTTGGTTGAGGAATAAGTTATTGGGTGTTGTTTGTTGTGTAAATCCGTATCAGCAATGAAGTATCTTTATTTTTCGTTATTCAACTAGAAAATTATGTAATTGTCACCATCTTTTGTCATTTGTATACCCAACTTGCAATTCCATGCCTCAAATTTTCCTGACTCATGTAATGCTTGCTTGTCTCGATGCATCATTATCTGTTAAGCTCTTCGAGCTTCGGTAATGAGGCTCACACATGCTACAAGTCCTTTGTTACTATAATTTTTCCTATTTTATGTCCTTGTAGGGTTGAGAAGAACAATTTGCTCACTAAATTGAAAACCTTCTGCTTTTCAAAAGATGTACTTGTGTGGAAATAAGTTTTTAAAGTCTAGAATGCTTTGGGTATATTTTATTTATTAACTTTTTCTTCATGACAGTAATTAGTGTTGGTGTTCTCCTTGATTTCCTATGAACAATATCATATATCTTTGGCTGCAGATAGAGTGTTTGGTCCAGCAACAACTACTCGTCATGTTTATGATGTTGCTGCTCAGCAGGTTGTCAATGGTGCCATGCAAGGAATTAACGGTAATTACTTTTCTTCACAGGTCCTATCATCTAATCTGATGTGAGCATGCATCAGGCATAGCCTTTTGTTGTATGATGATCTTGTTTTTGCTAGGGATGACCATTGAACATAAAACTCTTTGCATTTCAGTTGCTCTGAACAACTTTTTCCCCCACCAGTCCCTCAACACCCTTCCCCTTTTAAGGTTGTGGATCTTGGGACATGAGTCATATTCCTATCAACCCTTAGCATCTCATCTTGTGATGTTGACATCCTCACTTATAGGATTTGTTGCAAAAATATGCTCGTGTACTGGATGACTTTTTGGTCTCTGCACTGCAGTTCCTCTCTATTCCCTTTCTTATAAACACATTCTCATCATTCCCCAATCCCTTATGTTATATTTCCTTACCATGATAATCTCTTAATAGTATCCACTGTCTTTGTGGTCATTTTCTGAAAACCTTTTTTCTCCCTGCTTCTTGTTTTTTTTGGTTGAAAAGAGCTATCCATTAGTGCTTTCTTGTATAACTTCATCCATTTCTGCTGGAATTATGCTTGATATTAATTCTAGATCATCTTGGGGGATCTATAAATTTATGATGACGCCTCATGCTAGTTCAACTGATAATGGAAAATCACAAAACCATAGTAACATTTGCCACAATGTCAACAATGTATTCATTCTACGGTCAACAATGTATTTTGCAGGTACTGTATTTGCATACGGTGTCACTAGCAGTGGGAAGACTCATACAATGCATGTAAGTTGCTGTACTAGTTTTACGTTTGGTGCTTGTTTCCTCACCCAAAAAGGATGTGTGCACTAGACAGTAAAAGGAGAAAGGGCAACTTATTCCTCCCAAATTTATATAATTAATAGGAGGATTTTTTATGTGAAACCAAGCTTGGGGCTGAGCATTAATAAAAGCCATCTGACAAACTAAGTGCCACACATTGGCTGGTCCAAGAATATATTTAGCATGAGTTTTAGAAAAAATTGTTTATCTGAGATTTTGCCTCTCAACAGGTCAGTCGTTACTAGAGAACTTGAGTTGATTACCAGTGAAAGAGCACTTGAGTTCAGGAAATATCGAACCAGAAAAGTGCCCTGCTCAATTGAGTGAGAAACACAAATTAGTGTATTTGGTTTTAGTTTCTTCAATTTAGTTTTTTGAAAATTGAATTTTTTTTAAATAGTAAAATATTTGTAAAATAATATTTTAAAAAATTAATAAATACACAAAAATAGGAAAAATGTACTAAATTTTCATATTTTTTTATTTATATTTTTTGGCATTTAGTGTATTTTTTTTTTAAAAAAATTCACAAATATTATATTTTTTAAGTGTATTTATGTTAGGTGTGTCTAAAAATTAAAAAAAAAATTACTTAAAATATTAAAAAAATTTATTGAAAACATTAAAATAGGAAAAATAAAAAAAATAGAATTTTTTGAAAACTAAAACCAAACAAGATGAATGTTTTTCAAAGAAATTTTTTAAACTCTAAATAGTTGTGTGTGTGTGTGTTTTTCTTTTCCACTTATTTTGCCATCATGAATAGTATTTTTTGGGAGACCATTTGTCCCGCTTATGCAAAAAAAAAAATAAATAATAATAATAAAATAAAAATTGTGATGGCAAAAGAGAAGACACAAAAAAGTTGAAAGCATAAAACTCTTTTTTCTAATAGTGATTTGCATTGGTTGCCTTTTTTTGCGATCATTTGTCTCGCCAACATCAAAAATTATTTGCGACAACAAAAACTTATGCAAAAAGTCATTTTCTATGTATTTTTTGCTTAAAAAGTGAGAAGGATTTGCAGGAAGTGTTCAACCCAAGATGTGATTCAAATGTAAATCTAACACTTCAACTATGGCACTGCCAAAATTGTGTTTTTTCAGTCAGTCATCATCATAAACTTTCACATGAATGATGGCAAACCAAACCATGCCAAAGTTGTATAGAAACAAGTCAATAGAAAGTTACAACAACTAAAACTGCGTTCGTTTGGATAGAGTGATTTTTTGGAAAATTGATAAAAAACAGACTTTTTTAGTTTTTTTGATTTTTTTTGCTAAAAAAATTGGCTTTTTTCTGATTTTTTGTGGTTTTTTTTTTTTGTGTAAAAAAGCTGAAAAGCTAAAAAGCTGACTTTTTACCATACTCTCAAATTGCCAAAGAATATATATATACATATATATATATTGTGCATATTCTGACATTTAAAATAACAAAAAGACAAAAGTCAATAGAAAGTATTTTCAACAAAAAACAAGCATAATTAGATGAAAACATTTTCCACTCCAGAAAATATGAAAGATATTTTTCTGAACTAAACTCTTACTAATGACACCATCAGAACCCACCACAGCCACTGCCTCCAACCCACCTCTTTGCAAAAATAGTTTCTGGAAAAAATTATGTAAAAAATATTTTCTGTCAAAATAAACAAAACCTAACAAAACCTAGTACTAAGAGGAGAATAAACTGTGTAAAGTGTGTACATCACAGTGTCAATGCCAAGTTCCTGCCTAATTGATTACCTGAAATGAGGAATAGGGAATGTAAACTTGATATAAAGTTAAAAGTGGCACTTAAATTCACAATCACAAACATCATGGCCAAATTTCAACCAAATTTCATATAATTTAAATTGTTGAAGAAGTTTTATTTTTCCTAAAAGGAGAGCAATTTTTTGCCCTCAAGATGTTCCACTTTCCCTCAGTAAATGTCTTAGCAGTTTTAATTTTTAAATATGGACCTATCAGACAATAAACACAGAAAAGATCATCTCTCTGTCCCACTCAAACCAAAGATGGCCAAAAAGGACACAAACCATTTGCTAAACTTGATCTTTATCTTTATATTCGAATTTGATTTCTGCATGAGGTGACCAGCGTGGAAATCGTGTCACCTCTGTCAAAATTCTCAGTCCTTTGTCAGCAACCTTCTCTGAGTCAGTCTGAATAAACATTGTCTCCAGCACCAGCGATATGGCTAATAGAAGCTCAATAAACTTCAATTCAGGCTATGTGCCAGATAGATTGCCCAACTCCACTACTTGAAGTTGATTTAAAGAGACATCTGATCAGTCTTGCATTTCTAGAAGTTGTAGAACATGATCAATAACATCAGCAGTTTCACACCTTCGTACCTGGAAAAAAGGAAATGGAATTGTGTCTCAGCCTAATGATTCAAAATATACATTATAAACATAAGAAATAAAAATATCTGTTGTTCTTACCACAATTGTAATTTTCTCCAAGTTTGGAGAGCTTCTAATTAAACAAAGAATAACTGAGATCTCATTTACTTCCGCAAAACAAATAGACAACAACTTGAGAGTTTTAAGGTTGTTCAAAGTAGTTGGAAGCCTCTTTGGTACACCACCTGCAGACATGTACTAGAAGCAAAAGAAGAAAAAAAAAAATCAAAGAAACATGTGTTGACTTACTTATAACATCTTGCCAAACAACAACAAAAAAGGAAAAAAAAGAAGTGGTTTACTAAGCTAATCTTACCCGAACAGTATGATACTCCAATAGCAGAAACTCAATGACAGGTAGACTACCAAAAAGCGTGACCAATTTGGATGTTTCTGCTTCCGTAATTCCTTCCACATTAAAGATCCCCATAAAACAAATTGAAACCCATGCAAGTCTAGCAGTATTTTTTAAACAAATAGAACTGCAATAGATTTCACATACTAAGAACCTAAGATTGGGAGCGTTAATTTCAAGGCAATCTGAACTGAAGGACCTTTTAAGTGACAGTTTCTCAAGTAGTGGGTAACTGGAGATTAAACTTGAAAGTGTGTTAGAAGCAACAAAAACTCTATAAAGCACCAGTTCAACGAGCCTGCTAAATCCTTTAAATTCAGGTGGAGATTTAAATACACAAGAATGAAGACTCAAATACCTAAGTTGTTCACATGAAAATAATGATGACATCAATTTATAATGTTCACCCTTCTGAATGGGAAGGGTGAATTCCTGGATACCATTGTCTGAAAGGAAAAGTATCAACTGATCCATCTCCGGGCAACTTTCCAGTCTAGATAAATTGAGTATGAACTTGGGTATTGGTCCACAATGAAGTAAGAACTTGATAAATAGTCATCATAAGTTCAGTCTTGGATTTTCTGGTTGATTCTCTACAGAAGTTATCATCAAATACAAGTTGGGGAAGTTTTGTCCAGATATACCTCCATTTTGTTGACAAAACACTAGTCCTCACTGCATCCTGTATTGGCAAACACACTAAGACTGTTGCTTTTATATTTTCTAGAAGATTACTGATTATGTCTGAAGTTGATCCACGCACTTCCTTCGTGTTTCTCTTCATATTTCTAACTGTTCCGACAATCAGCAAGCGTAACCAAATCAAAGTACCAAGTTCCCAAGGTAGTGTTTTTATTGCATTTCCTGGCACATAATAAAAGAGCAATAAGGAATAACTCATTACCATATCTCCTGTTACAACATTCTATTAACCAAAATTTGTAGTTATGGAAAGAAAAAAATGAACATTACAATGGCTAACAAAAATCTCATCATTCACTAATATGACAAGATCTATTGGCGATAACATGGAGTAAAAAATTATAAATAAACATTACAAAAATTACAAATTCACAAATTATAAAGGGCAAACTTCACTTTACCCCCTTGTGGTTTGGGCCGGGTGGGGATTCCCTCTTGACATTCGGAAATCACCACGTAACCCTCATGTAGTTTGTGGACTAAAACGTACAGTTAGCTTTTCCGTTAAAGATAACACATTGTGAGAGTCACGCGCTTGCAAGGAGAGTAACACTATTTTTAAGACGAAAATGCCCCTGGCATATCTTCAAATTTATAAACAATGCCATCAGATTTGTAAACCTTTACCCAGGAAAAAAAAGAAAAGAAAAGATGACAGATGGTTTGATCTTACTGAATATGGTTTGATCTTCATACTACCAAAAATTTTTGAGCTTTTTACTGCCTAACTCTGGTCAATCCCATTCTGGCACCACTCTCCGGTCAACCCCAGTCCAGAGCCACTCTCCGGTTAACTCCACCATGACCTCCATAGTCGACCACCCCCAGCAGCTTTAGACAACCCCAATCCAGAGCCATCGCGGCAAGCCACCGTCCAGATTATAGATTATATGTAACAAAAGTTAATAAATGCTGGTGCCTGAGACTTTGGAAGAGAAAATGTGTAGCTATATATATAATCTGTATATATGTGTATGCAAATTATATAATCTATATATATATATATGTATATGTATATCAAAGCTAATTTCAATTCATCAAAAAAAAAAATTGATTATATAATCTATATATATATGTATATCAAATCCATATATATAAATATATATCTGTGTTATGTTTAAAAAAAAAATTGATTTTGTTTTTGCATCTGCTGTATGTATATATATATTTTTTGAATTTTATCCATATATAAATATATATTTGTGTCATTCTATTTCAATAAGTTTCAATGGTTTGTGAAGATGAAAGATGATGAAGTGTATGTACAACTTCAGTTAACTATATGAAAGATGATGAAGTGAAGTGTATGTCAGTTGGGTGAAGTGTATGTCAGTTGGGTGAACTGTATGTAAGATGATGAAGATGAGAGAGAGAGAGAGAGAGAAGATGAATGAGGGTATAATTGTCAATTTACAACTTCTGTTAACAGAAGTTAGTGTGCGTTTTAATCCACAAGCCACATAAGGGTTCTGTGGTGATTTCCGAATGTCAGAGGGGGTAATTCGCACCCGGCCCAAACCATAGTGATAAAGTGAAGTTTGCCCAATTATAAATAAACAACACAAAAATTTACAAATTCAGGGCGGTTCACAATTTCTATAAGCAAATTACAATCAAGGACTTCAATGTTCCAAGTTTTTTTTTTTTCTTAGACAAATATGACTTTAGACAGACCTGGACCACCTCAAAAGATGTGTGTTACAACTTAGAACAAAGATTCAAGATGACTATTCTTGGTGGGCATACAATTTAGATTCATGTATCTTTCTTTGAAGTCCCATTTGGATCCATCAACATTGAACTTCAAAGAACCAAAACAATTCACATTCATTTGAACTTGACAAACAACACCCTTAAAAATTGTACCCAAAAACTAGTTCAAACACACAAAAACAGAGAGAGAGAGAGAGAGAGAGAGAGGGAGAGAGAGAGACTACAATGGAGCTAATTAACCTCTCACAGTCAACAATGAAGGAATGGCATTGAGGTTTAGTAGATGAAAATGACACAATTCTCACATGCACTCCATTGATTGAAAAATTTAGTAGATGAAAGGGGTCTAGTGTTGCAAAATTTTTGTTAGGATAAAGAGACACGGGGCAATGAAGTGTAATTTTCCCTATATTTAGGCATACATGCAACGACTTGCTACATTTGGCAAGTTACTATAGAATCTCCCTAAAAATGGCGATTGTATTAGTGAATTTGTTAGAGTTAATTTTTTTGATTAATTATTCATTATTTTAGCTGAAAAACATAGATGAGTTGTCTGTTGTACTTATTCTAAGAATTTGAATGTTTGGGATTAAAAAATACATCATCAAATCAATATGAAATGCATGTTTATAGTACCAAAAACTCACATTATTCCGATACCTCCTAAAAAAAAAAAATTAAAAATAAATAAATAAAGTGATAAAGTGAAATGAAAGATCAAAGAAGAAATCTTTACTTGGGTGGTGGTGGTCTCTGTCAACCTCCTCGTATCATGGTTGCTTCTATTTCTACTTCGAATCCCTGTTACAAAATTCCGATACAGACTTCAAAAGCGTCAAAATTCTAGGATGATAAAGATTTTGAAAGAGAGAGAGAGAGAGAGAGAGTACTGTGGCCGAGGCAGAGCAAACTGGTTGAAGAAAATGGGAGAGAGAGAGATACGCAGAAAGGGTTTTCCGCATTTATATTGCATGGACACGTGCCAATACGAAAAGAATCTGACAGACAGAGACGTGTGAACTGGAAATTGGGACAAGGCTCCTAACCCTTCTTTTTTATTTTTATTTTAAGTTTGAGTAATGGTAGACACCCAAAAAAATTCTATAAAAATTTCTATCAAATGTTTGACATGGATGTGGGACCTACACAATAATTTGATCCTTATCCAAATAGGTTTTGAATTTGAATTCAAACCTATTTAGGATAACCACTCAAGATACAGATATTATCAGTTTTAACTGATATGGATAGATATTATAATATATTATATATCTGATATATGGTTATGGGTAATCAAGTGAGAAATAACGTATAGTCTGTTTCTACCCATATACTGACTCTCTCCCACAAAACAACGATCAAGTCTTTGCACTGTGATTTTGTGTGGGTGATATTCAATCTGTGATATCACTCCACTGCTGGGTTGATTTATCAGTTTTCTGGAAGCACGTGATTTATCCAAGAAGGTTCTATCATCAAGAAGGTATGATCTGATTATTTTATCCGCTGCATATTCTGTGTTTTTGATTTACACTCCTCGTATCATGGTTGCTTCTATTTCTACTTCGAATCCCTGTTACAAAATTCCGATACAGACTTCAAAAGCGTCAAAATTCTAGGATGATAAAGATTTTGAAAGAGAGAGAGAGAGAGAGAGAGAGTACTGTGGCCGAGGCGGAGCAAACTGGTTGAAGAAAATGGGAGAGAGAGATACGCAGAAAGGGTTTTCCGCATTTATATTGCATGGACACGTGCCAATACGAAAAGAATCTGACAGACAGAGACGTGTGAACTGGAAATTGGGATAAGGCTCCTAACCCTTCTTTTTTATTTTTATTTTAAGTTTGAGTAATGGTAGACACCCAAAAAAATTCTACAAAAATTTCTATCAAATGTTTCACATGGGTGTGGGACCTACACAATATGAGTTCTGTGATTTGCTAAAACTTTTAATAAAATTTTTGACATCTCTAACATTTTATTTAAATTTTCAGATAAGACAGATTGAGAAATTGTCTAAGCTAGGCTCAATTTGAAACCCAAACTTATCGCAATTGTCTGAATTGCTTAGATTTGTGATAGATATCATCGGAATTCTTACCATGGTTGTTAGCGGAATCGTGAGGCATATAGCTCTAGATTGTTGGAGATTTCAAAACTATATTTCATTTTTTGGTTTGGGTGTGTTGTTTGATTAGAGTTTTTAAAAATTGATTCTACACTCATTTTTGAAAACATGTCTATCTGGTAATCTTCCGAATATTCCCCAGACATTCGGCCGTTTGACTGAAACAATATTTGTGTTTTTTTTTTTTGACAATTGGTACCTGTTATTTTTTTTTATATTTTAAATAAAAAATATTTTTCAAAATTTTTTAAATTTTTTTATGAATTTTGGATTGTGTGTTTGGTTATGAATTGTAAGTTTTTTAATCAAAAAACTTTTCTAATTTCAAAACTCCCTCTAAAACTCAATTCAAAACTCATAACGAAACAAATTTTATCTTTTCAAATCATAATTCCAAAACTCATAAACTCAAAATACAACTCTATTATCAAATCATAATTCTAAAACTCTACCAAACACTTTCGGGTTTGGAATTAATCTACTTGAATTGGTCACCAGTCAAAAAGGATTTGAGTTTGGAAAACATCAAACCAGAAAGGTGTTATGCTCAATCGGGTGAGGAGTACATAAATGTTTTTGGAGAATTTTTTTAAACTCTAAATAGTTCTCTTTTGGGTAAATTATAAATACATTTCTTGAGATTTTTATTAAAATATGAATCGCCCCATGTGATTTTGAAAATTACATTCCACTCATGAAATTTCTAATTTCATAACAAATTGCTCATTTTATTAATAAATCATCAAGTCCATTAACAATTTTTAATGATGTTAAAAATATGTTTCAATTAATAATTTAAGTAATTTTATTATTATATAGGAGTGGAATTATGAATTTTATTTTTCCAGTTAATTTTGTTAAATAAAAAATTCTAATAAGGGAGTATTTGTAATTTTTCAAATCACAAAAACCAATCTGTATTTTAAACAAAGCTCAGGAGGTATATTTATAATTTACTATTATTTTTTTCCACTTTGAAAAATATAAAAAATGTTTTCTGAATTAAACTCCTATCAATGCCACCACATCACCATCACAACAACCCACCATAGCCGCTGCCTCCAACCCACCCCTTTACAAAAAATAAGTTCTAAAAAAAAATTATGTAAAAAACATTTTTTTATCAAAATAAACTAAAGTTAAGGATATTTTAAGTGGAAAATAAACTGTGTGAAGTGTGCAGATCACAGTGTCAATGCCAAATTCCTGCCTAGGAATTGTGTCTCAGCCTAAAGATTCCAAATTTACATTATAAACATAGGAAATAATAATATTACTTACCAGAATTCTAATTTTTACCAAGTTTGGAGAGCTTCTAATTAAACAAAGAATAAGCAAGATATCATTTAGTTGGCCGAAACAAATTTCTAAAAACTGGAGAGTTTTAAGGTTGTTCATAGTAGGTTGAAGCCTCTTTGGTACACATGCTGCAGACATGTTACTTATAACTTTGGTTGTCGGACCTTCGTCAGCAACCTCCACTGGGTCAGGCTTAATAATCATTGTCTCCAGCATTGGTGATTTGGCTAATAGAAGCTTAATAAACTCCAATTCAGACCTCATTATAGATATATCATACATCTCCACTGTTCGAAGTTGATTTAAAGAGACATCTGACCAGTCTTGCTTTTCTAAAAGTTTTAGAACAGGATTATCAATAACATCATCAGCAGTTTCATCAGTATGTACCTGGAAAGAAGAAAATGGAATTGTGTCTCAGCCTAAAGATTCCAAATTTACATTATAAACATAGGAAATAATAATATTACTTACCAGAATTCTAATTTTTACCAAGTTTGGAGAGCTTCTAATTAAACAAAGAAAAACCAAGATCTCATTTAGTTGCCCGAAACAAATTTGATTCAAGTAGAGAAATTTAAGGTTGTTCAAAGTAGTTGGAAGCCTCTTTGGTACACCACCTGCAGACATATACTAGAAGCCAAAGAAAAAAAAATCAAAGAAACATGGGTCACTTACAAAATCCTCCACACACCCACAAAAAGAAACAAAAGAGTGGTTTACTAAGCTAATCTTACCCGAAGATAATAATAGTCCAATTCCAGAAACTCAATGACAGGTAGACTACCAAAAAGCGTCACCAATTTGGAAGTTTCTGCTACCTCAAATTCTTCCACATCCATGGACGCCATTAAACCAATTGCAACGCTTGCAAGTTGAACGGTGTTTTTTAAACAAATAGAACCGGCATGGATTTCGCAGAGTAAGAATCTAAGATTAGGAGCGTTAATTTCAAGGCAATCTATACTGGTGGAGTTTTGAAGTGACAGTCGCTCAAGTAGTGGGCTACTGGAGATTAACCTTGAAAGTATGTTGGCAGTAACAACTACTTCGTAAAGCTCCAGTTCAAGAAGCCTGCTAAATCCTTTAAATTCAGGTGGAGAATTAAATATACAAGAATGGAGAGTCAAAATCTTAAGTTGAAGACATGAAAATAGTGATGATGGCAATTTATAAGGTTCACCATTCTGAATGTTGAGGTTCAATTCCTGGATACCTCTTTTTGAAACGAAAAGTATCAACTGATCGAACTCCGAACAACTTTTCAATCCAGATAAAGAGAGTGTGAACTTGGGTATTGGTCCATGATGAAATAACAGAACTTGATAAATAATCGTCATAAGTTTATCCTTGGTTTTGCTGAACAAGTCGCTGCAGAATGTATCATCAAATACAAGTTGGGGAAGTTTTGTCCAGGTATACCTCCATTTTCTTGACAAAACACTAGTCCTCACTGCATCCTGTATTGGCAAACACGCTAGGATTGTTTCTTTTACACTTTCTGGAAGATTACTAATTATGTCTGAAGTTGATCGACGCATTTTCTTCTTGATTCTCTTTATGTTTCTAACGGTTCTGACAATCAGCAAACTCGACAAAATCAAAGTAACAAGCTCCCCAAGGTAGTGGATTTATTGCATTTCTTGGCACAAAATAAAAGAGAACAATAAGAAATAGCTAATTATCGTATCTCCTGCTATAACATTCTGTTAACCCAAATTTGCAGTTGTGAAAAGAAGGGAAAAATTTCCCAAATAACACAACTCCTAAAAATTAATCTAATCAATAACCCATCCTGTTGACCTTAAAATTTGGTTCAAACAGTTGGACGAAACATATGCGCACGACTTGTAGACAAGAATCAGCAATTTAGCTGCCATTGGTTGATAGTTTGGAGTATGTGGGATAGTACCGAGAATGAGAAGTAGAAAACAATTTCATTTTCTTGTACAAACAATCAACAATCGAATGAGAAACCTAATAATCTCATTAAGAAACTTTTACAAAATTGAAAGAAAAAATGTTAAATACCTGCTGGAACCTGTATGAGTTAAAGGATATTTACAACAAGTCTAATGAATGCTTAACTGGAACTCAAGTAAAAGGAGAAAAATATAACTAACAGAAAAATCTCTCGTGGATTTTTGTAGGAAGCACATAGAAAACAAATAAATATAAATTGACTATCTTTTTTGTGTTTACTAGAAATTAATGACTGGAAATAATAATAAAAAAAAGGATTTATTCTCTAAGCAACAAAAAACAAATAGAACACGAGGACAACTAATTTAAAATGTAAATTGAAGAAAGTAAAATGAATTTGCCCATCTTAACATGATATATTTTCATATTTTTTTGGGGATAAATAACATGATATATTTTCATTAAATACTCTGAATTTCTATACTAACTAGCAATTAACTAGAACCAACTAAAATAAGTTAGTAGTATAAATATTTCTTGAATGCTAATATGGTAAGTAACAAGATAGATAGAACTTTACTAAAGATATTACTATTGCATAAACCTATGATTCTAAATTTTTGAGATATTAATGGTTTGTATTAATAGGTTCTTCTTTGTTAGCAAAAACAATGCTTGTCCACATTGTTTTGGCTCTCTTGGTGCTCCCAAACCCTTTGAACCTAGTAAGAAGCATTTGAATGCAGTCCCGTGGAACAACCCACTGATCATTACATAAGCCGAAAAGCCACTGCCATAATACAAAAGCCACTGGGCAATGAAGGAATAAATGATCCACTACCTTTGAATTCCTCTTGCACATCACACACCATTGAGAACAAAGAGAATGATTAGGCCTTCTTCTTTGGAAGACATCATTAGTTGTGACCCCCTTTTGAGCCAAAGACCACATGAAAAACTTCACTTTATGAGGGACAACTGCTTTCCAAATTTTCTTATGAATAGGAAACAAGGGAACAAAGGGATTATCAACAAGCTTATCAAAAAAGGATTTACGGCAAAAGTCCCTTGAAGAAACAAGATTCCAAACCCTAATGTCACGGGAGGAAGAAAGAGAAACCCCCTCAAGCAATACCAACAAAGATGCCAACTCCACAGCCTCCCTATCATTCAAGTTTCTAATGAGATCAAAATTCTAAGAGATGGATGCCATAGAAGAGCATGCCACCAACGCTATCAAAACATTCCGAAAATGAACCAACCAATAAAGAAGAGTAAAAGCACTAAGCGATATATCTTCTAACGAAACATCCTCCCAAAAAAGGATGGACAACTCATTCCCCACTCTCAATGAAAGGAAGTTAGACATAAGTGGATACAAACGAGAAATAGACTTTCACGGTGGATGACAATTGCCTTTATTAACCATGTTAGAATCTCTAACATTGGGTTGAACTCCATACTCGCTTTTAACAACTGAACACCATAGTGAATCACTGTCAATAAGAAATCTCCACAACCACTTGCCCAAGAGAGCAATATTCCTAGCAACAATGTTCCCTATAACTAGAATCTTTGATGGCAAGGAATCAAGTGTAGAAGCTTTGTGGGATAGGGCTGGATATTTGGCTTTGTTTTAGACATTTGTATCCCCTCCTTTTAAAGGAGTTCCTTTGTTCTTGATCTCTAGGGATTGGGCTAATGTTTGCCATCCCTAGGGCTAGGAATTTTGTACTTTTGTTTTGTTCCTTCTCTTTCTTTGTATGACGACTTCTTGTCCTCTTTCACTTTTCTTTTTTAATAAAATTTTGTTGATGCTCACACACAAAAAAAAAAAAAAAAAAAAAAGGTTCTTCTTTGTTTCTTATATGCTTCTTTGAATAATACAAATTCAACTAGGGTTTTAAGTCTTTTAACTAGGATTTATACAAATAGGAGGATTGTTCAACTTGGGTTTAATTCTTTCAACATTGAAGTTGCAGGAGAAGGAAGGGGGGAGGTGGTGGTTCTGTGGTCGTTGAGCATGGAAAAGGTTACCAAATATTGCTAACCTTGATCAAATTTGAGGTTCAATAGGTAAGGTGGAAGTTCGGGCGGCATCTCTTAAATGAGATATATTTTTGGGGAGTTTGAGAGGAAAACAATTGTTGGAACGTCGTGGCCTACAAAATAAGCGGGCAGGTTTGTGGAGGTGGTTGGTCTGCAAGGTTGTACTTCCTAGAGTCAGATTTTGGAGATGGATAGGAGGGGATGGTTAGCAGAGATGCCTTTGGAGTTCAATATGGGATGGCTAGCATTGAGTGAAGACAACAAAGAAATTCCTGCAGCAGGCTCTGTCTCTCTGTTGATAGGCAGATAGACTCAATTGATTCCTTTATGCTCATAGTTGTTGACTCTTTTATTGCAAAAGACATTCCTACCAACAAGTTGATTCCTTATTGCATTACCTATTACTAATTGATATTATAACTATAATTGTTCTAATGTCCCCAGACATGAAAATTAGATGAATCCGATAGAGAGTCAATAAAACACAAGTCAATTCTCATCACGAAATCAATGAGCAAACCAAATCAAGTGGGATCAGCAATATGAATACTTTGTTATTTTGTTTTGTGAAGGGTTATATGCTTAGTTAAATAAAATAAATACATATCATTTTTACTATCATATCTCATCTCAATTTAGGTCTTCTCCTCCCCCTTACATTTCCATTTACAGTGATCGTAATATTTTTCCTGGTCGTTGGTTCTATGACTCTTCATTGACATAATTAATGAGCAAATTTGGAAAAAAAAAAATCAACTTCGTTGCATTCTTATAAACGACAAAAAAAACTTTAACCCATTAAAGTCAATAAGTTGTGATACCATGATTAGGCTCAATTTTGGCTTCATTAAAATTTCACCTCAACTTCTTTAAGCATGGGAATAACAATCCCAACAGTCTGCAAATTTCTTGGTAAGGAGAAGTTGTGTTTCAACCACCTTCCTCACCAAACTAGCAAGTTCAAATCTATACATGAGATGGCTCAATTTGTTTTTATGGAAAGTATTCCAAATGATTCCACCAATATAACAAATCTAATCAAGTCCTTTTGTAAAACTTCATGTGGAAGTTCCCATCACTTTTAACCAAGACAATAATAAACACTCATTTTTTTTATTTTTTTAAATTATTAAAAAGCAATTACTAAAAATGATATCCATCAAAGTTTTCATATTTATAGAGGGATAATCAAATAAAATAGAAAACAGAAAAAATAATTGCAAATTAATGGAGTGCAAGTGAGACATACCTGATACAAGTGAGAACTATGCAAAAAATGGCACAATTCTTAATTGCTCCATTGATTTGCAATTATTTTCTATGTTTCCTGTTTGTCTTATATTCCCCTAATTTTATATGTTTAGTAACGGTTATGTTTACTGCGGTGTGCACGTGAGGCACACCCGGTACAAGTAAGAACTATGCAAAAATGGAAAAATTCCCACTTGCACTACATTGATTTGCAATCATTTGCCATGTTTTCCATTCCTAATTTTATATGTTTAGTAACATTTATGAACTCATTTAAGGTTTCAATTTTCCACTTCTAGACAACGACTCATCTTTATTGATGGGAGGATATATCAAACGGAATTCAAACTGTAAACCTAACTAGACCGAGACTCATTTACATTATGTTGCATTGTCAGTCTTTGTCTAATTTGTATTTGATTGGAGAATATGTAAGGGAATTAGAACTATAAACCCAACTATACTGTGACACCTAATTAAGATTGTTGGATATGTTTGGTTGTATTCAATTAAATGGACGGTATTCCATGTGCGAGCACCTATGATGATGCTTGGTCAGTTGTTGAGTATAACTGTCCCGCTGTTTGATCTGAACAATTTGTCCTTTCGTGTACTGACCCAACACACATGACATGCCACTACTAGTGCACGAGACTGCCTCCAGTCGCCTAATTTCTGAATCGAGGTAAACTTTTCCACTTGGATTCTAATAAAAAGAATTTATACCACCAATATATTCTAAATCTTAATATCAAAATCCCACAATTAAGTCTAATTGTGCACATAATTTAGTTGTTAGGAAAAGGCTACCATGTGCACCCGAAAGAGGGTGCATATAGTATGCACCTTATACAAGAAGTATAAATTTTTCACATCATAACTTTACTATTCATAGTTTTCACCACAAAAATCAGAACTTCCATTAAAAAAGATCAAAACTTTCACCACAAAAATCACAACTTTTCTTACAATGTGCAAGTGCACATTGTAGCTGCACTTCCCTGACAGGGATTGTTCAGCCTTTAATTCATGGATTCTAATTTGAACCATTAGTAATGATGTTGAGCAATACGGTAGGAGAGTTATCTTGAATCCATTTAATAACTTTGGGCGTACTTGAAAAGAAATGAAGCTTTAGTGAACTACGAATGATACCCTTTTTCGCACAGTGTAAGTGAGAATTATGTACAAAATGACACGATTCTCACTTGCACTCCATTGATTGAAAATTTTAGTAGAAGAAGGGGGTTAAGTGTCGCAAATTTTAGTTAGAATAAAGTGACATGGGACAATAGTTAAGAGTGGGTAAAAGTGTAATTTGCCCTATATATAACGACTTGCTACATTTGGCGAGTTACCATAGAAACCCCTTAAAATAAGGATCGCACTAGTTAGTCTGTTGAAGTTAATTTTTTTTTTTTGGGTTACTTATTCTCTAATTTATCTAAAAAAAACAGAGATGAGTTGCCTGTTGTACTTACCTCTTAAGAATTTGAATGTTAGGAAATTAAAAAAGACATCATCAAATCAATATGAAATGCAATGCATATTTATAGTACCAAAAAATCACATTATTCTGATATCCCAAAAAATAATAATAAATAAATATCGTAACAACTATTTGAGTGAGTTGAATTGAATACATCTGAAAAATCTATCAGACTCATGATTTCATGAATCAAGGTTTGATGGAAAAAAATTGGGGTAAATTAGGGTTTTAAATTACTTACAGTACGGAATTAAAGAATCATCAAAGAAACCAAACCAAATCAAATCCTATAACTGAGTTCCTCCATCAAAACAAAACAAGATTAGATTTCAAACATTTAAAAAAAAAAAAAAAAAGATTGAAAAAACAGAAATGAAAGACCAAAGAAGAAATCTTTACTTGGGGGGTGTGTCTTTCAACCTCCTCGTATCATGGTTGGTTCTATCTGCATGTCTGCTCTCTACTTGGATACCCTGTTACCAAATTCCAAATGTTAAAAATTACAGACTTCAAAGAATCAAAATTCGAGCAAGATATTCAGATTTTATTTAAACGATGAGAGTGAGAGTACTGTGGCCGAGGCAGAGCAAGCTGGCTTTTTGGAGAGAAAGAAAGTGATACGCACACAGAGAGGGTTTTTCCGCAGTTTTTCTTCTGCATGGACACGTGGCAATACGAAAAGCATCCGACAGACGTGTGAATAGGATATTCCGACTGGGATAATTTTTCCCCTTTTCGGGCAGGTTGAGAGTTGTATTGTGAGTTGTCCAAGTGGGTCCGAGCGCGCTTTGTAACCCAACTTATTACCTAACAATGCCTCCGTTTTGATTTTTTGACTTTTTAATTTTTTTGGATTATTTTAGTTTGAGTTTAAAAGTTTGGTTTGGGAAGGATTTTTTGATTTTTTGACTTTTTTGAGTTTTTTTGTGGGAGAAGAATGTAATGATTATGGGTTAGATGTGATGTTTTGTTTGTTATGGCTAAAATAGCCTATTTTATTTTTTGTGGCTAAAATAGCCAAAAAAGCCCACACCATGGCTTCCCAAATGAAGCCAATGTCCTGTTTGGTAAGACTTATTTTCAGTTTATTTTAATTTTTAACTTAATTTAAATTATTTTGATATATTTGGTTCAGCTTAACAATACAATTTATAGTTTTTTGTAAATCAAAAATCAACTTATTCTTTAAGTAGGGGAGAAGAAATTTAATTTATAAGTAAAAAATCAGCTTATGTTCACAGTTATAAGGCATAAGCTGTTAAGGTATAAGTTATAATCGCTTTCCCACAGCTCTACCAAACGGGCCAAATGTAATTGTTTAGGAAGTTATTATTTTAGTAAGTTTTTTTAGTTTTGGAGGAAATTTTTTTTGTGTTTGGGAAGATAGTTAAATTTTTTTGTAGTTACATGTGATGTTTGTGAGAGAAAAAGTAAAATAATTATGAATTTGATGTGATATTTTATCTGAATTTGTTTTTTTTTTTTTGATTTTTTAACCTATTTTGTCTTTTAGCAAAAAACTAACAAAAAAAAAAAACTCTTCCCAAACACCACCAATGTAATAATGTTTATGAATAAATTAAAAAAAATAAATCACTAAAGACTAAAAAAAAAATTCTAATTTTTTTGTTTTTTATTTTTTGCATCACATATGGAGCTGATGTGTTAGTGATGTGACAAATTTTGTTATTTTTTTTTGGATGGAAGTGAGTCTAGGAGTAAAGTGAGAAGAATTACAAATTTGAAGGGCCAAAGTGGGAATGATTACAAACATGAAGGGCTAAAGTGGAAAGGATTGCAAACATGAAGGACTAAAGTGGGAATGATTGTAAACATAAAGAGCCAAAGTGAGAAAAATCAAACTTAAAAGGCCAAAGTGAGAAATTAGTGAAACTTTAGGGGGCAAAGTGTAATTTACCCATATTTATAACCATATATATAAATTAAAAATATATATAAACCCATAGCAAATATAAATAGATTAGATTTATGACATTCAGTTTATTATTAATTCTCTTTAGCATATATATGTTTTAGATATTAGGGACATTGAAAAACATCTTATTTATTAAGAATTTGAATGTTAGGAAATTAAAAAAGACATCATCAAATCAATATGAAATGCAATGCATATTTATAGTACCAAAAAATCACATTATTCTGATATCCCAAAAAAATAATAAATAAATATCGTAACAACTATTTGAGTGAGTTGAATTGAATACATCTGAAAAATCTATCAGACTCATGATTTCATGAATCAAGGTTTGATGGAAAAAAATTGGGGTAAATTAGGGTTTTAAATTCCTTACAGTACGGAATTAAAGAAACATCAAAGAAACCAAACCAAATCAAATCCTATAACTGAGTTCCTCAATCAAAACAAAACAAGATTAGATTTCAAACATTTAAAAAAAAAAAAAAAAGATTGAAAAAACAGAAATGAAAGACCAAAGAAGAAATCTTTACTTGGGGGGTGTGTCTTTCAACCTCCTCGTATCATGGTTGGTTCTATCTGCATGTCTGCTCTCTACTTGGATACCCTGTTACCAAATTCCAAATGTTAAAAATTACAGACTTCAAAGAATCAAAATTCGAGCAAGATATTCAGATTTTATTTAAACGATGAGAGTGAGAGTACTGTGGCCGAGGCAGAGCAAGCTGGCTTTTTGGAGAGAAAGAAAGTGATACGCACACAGAGAGGGTTTTTCCGCAGTTTTTCTTCTGCATGGACACGTGGCAATACGAAAAGCATCCGACAGACAGAGACGTGTGAATAGGATATTCCGACTAGGATAATTTTTTCCCTTCTCGGGCAGGTTGAGAGTTGTATTGTGAGTTGTCCCAGTGGGTCCGAGCGCGCTTTGTAACCCAACTTATTACGTAACAATTGGTTGGTTGAACTTATTTTCAGTTTATTTTAATTTTTAATTTAATTTAAGTTATTTTGATATATTTAGTTCAGCTTAATAATATAATTTATAATTTTTTGTAAATCAAAAATCAACTTATTCTTTGAGTGGGGAAGAAGAAATTTAATTTATAATTAAAAAATCAGGTTATGTTCACAGTTATAAGGCATAAGCTATTAAGGTATAAGTTATAATCGCTTTCCCACAGCTCTACCAAACGGGCCAAATGTAAGTGTTTAGGAAGTTATTATTTTAGTAAGTTTTTTTAGTTTTGGAGGAAATTTTTTTTGTGTTTGGGAAAATAGTTAAATTTTTTTGTAGTTACATGTGATGTTTGTGAGAGAAAAAGTAAAATAATTATGAATTTGATGTGATATTTTATCTGAATTTGTTTTTTTTAACCTATTTTGTCTTTTAGCAAAAAACTAACAAAAATAAAAAAATAAAAAAAATCCTTTCCCAAACACCGCCATGATTTATCACTAAAAAAAAATATTACGAATAGTATTAATGTATTAGGAATATCAAAAAAAAAAAAACCAAAAAAATAAGGCATAGGCAATGAATGGGGCCCACTGTCACAATATTAGTGGTGCTATTAGAGCACCACTTTTAGTGTTCTCAATCATTTTTCATTACATACAGTTTCGTTTGGGAGCATGTTGACTTTTTGATTTTTTAATTTTTTAGTTATTTTAATTTAGGGTTAAAAATTTTCATTTTAGAAGATTTTTTTGACTTTTTGTGAGAGAAAAAATGTAATGATTATGGGTTAGATGTGATGTTTTATCTTACTAAGTTAAAAAACTTATTTTGTCTTTTTGTAACTAAAATAACCAAAACCCAACCCAATCCTTCTTCCCAAGCGAAGCCACCATTGTTCAAATTGTTTGAATTGCTTAGATTGATTAATTTGTTAAAATTATTTTATTAACATTTTTTTAAAGTATAATTATTAAGTGTAATATTATATTTATTGAGTTTTAGTTTGTTTGAATCTTTGGAATTTGTATACGCCGATCATTCAGTCAGTCATTCAACAACAAGGGTAATAATGATGGTTGACAAGGGTTTTACTAGTTATTCGAGTGGTCGTTTAGACAGTTAACCAACATGCACATATTCAGATGATTCAGATAAATTCAAATTCGATGAATGAATATTTTTTAATTATTAATAATAGTATCAAAATAAATAATTTGGAAAATGTGAAAGACGGAGAGGTAAAATATAATGATTGAATTATCAATGTACGGCTGTGGTGGATTTTGTAGTTTTTAAGTGAGAAAAAAAATATTAAATTTTGTGTTATATTATTTGTATATATAACATATACTAATGAATATATTTAACGATGTAAATTATTTTAATATTATTCAATTGCTAATGAGTTATATATATATATATATATATATATGTATATAATATTTTTATATTTACGATTCAAGATTCGGGCTGTTTAGTGTTTTTAGGAAAAATTAGTCTAAGGTCCTTCTCCTATTTTTAGTAATAGAAGAGATCCACAATATTATTTTATGATGTCTAAGGTCTCTCAACCCCACACCCATATATCATAGAAAAATTTGATTTTCTTAAATCAAATTGGCCTCTCCCTTTCTGTTCTTCCTTTTTATTAACGAAGAAAGCATTGAACTTGTCAATCTCATCCTCCAACAGCCTCACAAAATTGATCACCTCCTTCGTCACAACCTTTTTCGCTCCGCCGTTGTGCATTGTCTGTGTCCACCACCGTGATAAGGCACTCATACACATCAATTTAAAAGCCCGTGTAGGTGGTCACAAATGGTGCGTTGGTTTAGTTTGTCTTCATTCAGCCTCTTTGTGTTGCCCAATCGTCTGCATTCCAAATCGAGTTGAACACTCCCATTGCTTGGTCCTTCGAGAATGGTATGGCTCTGTGTTCCAAGTTTGCGTATCATCACTGCTTTTTAGACCCATATGAGAGATACAGAGAGAGAGAGAGAGAGAGAGAGAGAGGGACTTACACAACTTGGCACTAGTTCTAGAGAATAGAGTAGGAGTGGAAGTCCTTGGTGGGGTGGAACTAAAGGAATTAGTCTTGAGGAGATCAAAAAGAATCCGTCAATTTGGTATCGGTTCATTTTCTTCTTCTTCTTCTTCTTCTTCTTCTTCTTCTTCTCTCTCTCTCTCTCTCTCTCTCTCTGTGCATGCATAACTTCCATACGTATTTTCTTCCTATCTCTATGTTATATATACGATAGAGATAGCAATTTGTTAATCAGCTTCTCTTGATGTTGCCAACAAGATCTACACCGCTTTTTTATTCTTTAATTGTTATGGGTAAGTGAAATCAGAAACATAAAAATAGAGATTTTATCACAGAAGCAAATGTATGTATTTAATCTATTTGTAATTAAATGTATGTAAATGCCAATTGCAATGATCAAAATGGGTTTGGTGGTTGTGTCAACAATTGTTGCTATTGAAGGAGCTTGAATTGAATTGCAGTGGTTGTATTGAAATAGATTTAATGTGGGTTATAAAGGGATTTTCTCTGGTTCGATCAAAAATACAGAGAAAAATGTAATCCAGAGAAAATTCTCTCAATCACATTAACAAACAACATTGAACTCAATACCAAAACATCAGAGAAATTCTCCAATCTTTC